AATGCAGTCTTCTCAACATCTTATCCCCGTAGTGGAGTTTGAAAGAACCCTAGGGACAAATCAAAGCTTGTAAACCATTGGGCATTACCTTGTTGTGCCTAGGGCCACTCAGTGGGAGGCATGGGGTACACTGGTACCTTCGTACAGGAATTCAAGTGTCTTTAGTCAACAGCCACATGGTAGCCTCCGGATTTGTGCTACTTGTGCTCCGCTTGATTAGGCCTGCTTCCAGTATCTCGTTCAAGCAGGCATCCATGATGCGTTGTTTTTTTGGATTGACTGGGCGCAGCTTTGTGGGCACTGGTGTGCGGTCGCATGTCGATACAGTGCTTAGTAAGTGTGGTACAAACAGGCGACTTTGTGAAGAGTGCCTTGTACTCTCCCAGCAGGCCCCTGAGCTCATTCATTGGTACTGCTCGCTGCCCTGAACCAGGAATGGTGCTGCAAGCCACAACGTCTGGCTGTTGCTCAAACAGACGTCCAAGGCAATTGGAATCATCCACTGGATCTGGACAACCTTTTTCTCAGGTTTGGCAAAGGGCCAACAAGCTGTAGTTTGATGCATAAAGTCCATCTTCCCAAAGCTATGTGAAAGGACATGCCAGTGGCTGTAAGAAAGTTTCTTTTAAGCACAACATCTTGGCCCAGGTCAGGTAGACAAGGAAATTTTTGAACCCAGAAACCGCTATCCTACTCTATCCTGCGTTTGGTAGACATGGAGCTCACAGCTAACGTGAATTCTCGACGGAAAGCTGCGACGAAGTCATCCTACGTGGTGAAGGGTCTAGCGAAGCGAAGCCACAACTTTGCGCTGCCGATAAGCGCCACGGTAACGATGTGTTGAACTCGGTCTTCCATAGGTATGTCATTGATAAGACAAAAACTGTCCACTTTCATGAGGAATTCCTTCAGCATCTGTACATCCCTGAAACCCGTGAACCTCGGCAGCGTGGTTGCAATGGGCGATGGTCATTTGGGTCGCCAGCTGTCGGACAAGGGCCGGTTGGTGCTCGTCGCTCACGGGAATAACGGGAGCAGCCATTAGTGCTTGTCGCAGCTCATCTGCTTGGCGCTCGCGTTCATGGGGGCGCTGACCAATAGCAGATTAGTCTGCTTCAGCATAAACTGCAGGAATTCGTCACGGATTTCGGCTCTATTCTAAATGAGCCCCTACTTGTCATGTTGGTTAGGCTTCACTCTCTAGTTCCCACAACTTCATACGTCCTAGCACAACACCGTCCGCTCACACACAGGTCCGATGTCCACAGTTGCCACATTGCCCAAGGGGCGCCGCATACCCTCTCATCAATACCATTGGATGTTCTCACAACGAGACCAACTAAACCAACTAAATCGTCCTAGTGTAAGTGTTGTCCCTCTAGCCTTAGTGCTACTCCTGATTCGGGCCGACCTTACTTGTCAACACAAATTATTTTGTCGTCAAAGTTGGTACCATTGGGTCCTTTTCGGGGTTCTCGACGTTCTCGACGAACTTCGCCGTCCCTGCCACTGCCGACATGGTCGCCCGTCGTCGCCTGATGTCGTCGTTGGCGTGGTGGCAGCCTGAACTCTTAAAGCTTCACAGCATTTGGTGCTGAGCTGACGTGGCCCACCGGGGACTATTTTCGCTGACTTGCCGTAATGGGGGCTTGCGCCAGGAACGTCTCTCCGATTACTGCCGGCGGTTGCTGCATCCTGTGGCTGCGCTCGAACTAGGTCGAGGTCTTCGGCCACTTGTTGGGACACTCTGGTCACAGGCTGCTCAGTTGGTGTTCTGCTGCTCCTGTCGTCAAGGCGCTTGCTGGCGAGACGACTTTCTTCTCTCAAGCTCACATTGACTATGCCAACGCGTCGTTGCTTGCGTGCCAATCACGGCTCGAATCACGCACCTCCTGCTTCTTGAACCTTCTTAGCATGTGCTTGTGCCGCTTAAAACACCTCGTCATCTTTTTTCCTTCAAGGAGCTCTTACTCATGAAAACAGGCCACATATTGTGTAGAGACTATCACGATTGGTCTATTTATGCTACAGTCATATACAATGTAAACAGTCCTTCCAAAGGACAATCAGAGACTAGTACCTTTGTGAAAGAAATAGTTCTGCTCATGCACTTGGCAGCATTCTCCGAATACCTGTTGTCTGGCTTATGGTGTCAGTCTTGAGTTTGTGCCCATTGGAACAGGCTTGTGTGCATCCAGATTTGAGCACTATTGATGAGAACTAACCAGCAGTGATGCCAAGGAAAGTATGTTATGAGTAGTAATTGTAATCTGAAGAAAAAGAAGTGGATGAAAAGATAACTTACCGTGGCCAGGGACTGTACCTGAGACCTTCGAAAAACACATCCGGTGCTCTACCAACTGAGCTACAAGCTGCAGTCGTCCCTCCGTCTACGTTATAATGTGTATATGTGTGTGTGTGTGTGTGCGTGTGTGCGTGTGTGTTTGTGTGTGTGTGGGGGGGCTGCATGCATCTAAATCTGGGAGTGTCAGTCAGCGCCCCCATGTAGCCATGATGGCAAGCATGGAACACTTCTTCGGTCTGTTGGTATCACGGAGGAAGGAAAGATAGGAGAGGCCCTGACGTCACTCGTGAAGTCGCGATGAAGCCGGAAGTCGGCCATATTGGCTGGGCAAATTTTCCTCTCTTGTTTACATCCGAATGTAAAGCAGAAGGCAGGACTCTCTCTCTGGCTCGGAAAGCACGTGGGCTGCGCAGCGCGTGTGTCGTGACAATTTGAAACTAATGGAACGGGGATCATCACTCTGTGCCAGCGGGACACCTTCAGCGAAATCGCTTCGTCCGAGTAATAACAGGGAGTAACAGCTCACCAACAACGAAGCAACTACGAGAGAACACGCGCTAGATGCACCGACAACGGCGAGTGCTTTCACGTCATTAATTCAGCAACTGTGCAGACAACAGAATCGGTCGTGCACCTTTTACCGTTGCATTCCGCCACGTGGCCGACGCAGCGTCCTGCCACTGTGTCCGTGTTCTGCGTGAAACTCACCGGCGTCAGCATTCTGCGACCGTGGTGACTTTGAGCACGGTGCTAGTGATAGTTGAATGCGGTTGCTGTTACGTTGAGATTACATGCAATGCTGGTGGAGAGTGTACCGAGCGGAACAGAAAAGGTGTTTTAATACGCGCATGCAAGTTGTTACTGTACACACACAACACGAAACTACGTATGTGTACATGGTCCTCATGGCGTCTGCTGGGCTCAACAGCATCGTACGTTGTCACAAGCAGGAGCACTGCTCAATCGTCACTGACCTGCAAGGCGTTCGTCATCATTCAGCTTCGTCATGGTGCCCAACGCAATTTCGCTGAACACTAACTGCTTCATCTGTGTCATCCGCCGCACGACACATAGATACGCACTCGTTCTACGCACTGTGGAAACCCCGTGATGGACAAAAGCATTTGTAAACGTTGCTAAGAGTACAGTAACTGCCAGGAGAACACTGCGTAATCAATAACACGGCGCAGAGCACAGATATTGTCCGCCACGGCTCAGCACGAGACCTGGGGAGGCACACATTCCACGTGCCAGCCGTGGCCGCTCACTGCTAGACCAGCTCCACTGCGCAACACGTAACCATAGCAACACCGCCATTGTGCCTAGTGAATATGGCCGCCATGATGTCCATTTCCGTCACACTTTTCACGCCCCGCGCCGGCTAGGCATGCCCTCTCCCACCTTTCCTTTCTCCGTGGTTGGCATCATGTAACGCATGATCTTGGCACTGTCCAGCTCGGTTGAGCATGAGACGCGTTATTCAAAGTTCGATTTAGCCCCTGCCAGCAGCGAGTTATCTTTTTATCCTTTTCACTTTATTCACATTTACATTGTATCTACTACAGCTAATTCCTTGACAGCATTGTCTGTTGGTTCTCATCAACATTGCATCTAACAAAGAAAAAGGAGCCTTTAAAATTTCTACTTCTTTTCATCAAACTTGAGCAGGTAATTCCACAGACGTCTGAGGTCATATCCAACAAAAAAGTCTGCTGGTCTTGCTTTTTCGGCATCCTGCTTGTGGTCTATGCTAAGATCTAAAAGAGGGAAGTGAAATCAGGGACAACAGAAAGTTGTATTGGGCTATGAAAGGATTGAAAAAAAAAAAAGTGGCTGATTTCTTTATCTAGGAATTGGCATAACAGGAGAGTGGAACGTGCATTCACAGGAGTAGTAAAATGTTTATCGTGCACTGTGTCAGCGACAGCAACAAATTGCAAAGTCACGGGAAGAACAGCAAGCAGCTGGAAACTTGCAGCGTGCACTTCAAGCAGACAGCACGCATGAAATTAGCACACACAGGACAAGCGCTGTAACAGCTCGACACTTAAAATGCACTGTTCAAACAGAAAGACGCATGAAACGAGTGCATAAGTATACACAAGCTTGGAAAAACTGGCACAATTCTTCATCATGTGTCAGCAGCACACTCCTTTCGTAAAGCGGCCACGGCAGTCAATGGCCTTCCCGAATTACGAGTCTCATAAGCGCGAGCGTAGGAGTGGCCACACCCCGTGGAGGCGATCTTGAGTGTGCCCAACGCGATCTCGTGGCGCCATCTCGCTACTGATAGTGAAAACGTGCCAAAGTTTCGAAGCTCTGAGGACCGCCAAATGGTGTATGGTGTATATAAATGGTTTGCCGTTAGCACCCTGAATAAGGTAAGCTCGGTGGCCTAGTGGTTAGTGCTGTGCACTGCGAGTCAAGAGGTTGCTGGTTCAATTCTGCATGACCATATCTTTTCTTGTTTTGTTTTTTTCGTTGCAATCTTAGTATATATATCTTACAACGTGATATCGAAGATGAAAATATGTCAGTGGAGCCGTGGTGTGCTTCTGCATAAAACAATTTCATGTTGAAAATGAAATGGGCCAGCTGACACTAGGTAAGAATTGTAACTAGGGATTGTGTGGGGATGCATCCATCCTGCAGTGATTGGCTGTTTCTTTTGATCGGAACCACTGCTGTGTGACAGGCCAGGGCCCTTGAAAAACGTCTGGAGCGTGAGAAGGCGGAGCAGCTGGGCGTAAGTGGTCGGAGCCAAGGGGCAGGAGGGGACAAGGGCTCCTCTTCCTCCTCTTCGTCCTGGAGCCCGGATGATGTGCAGCTGCTCGTCAAGGCTGTCAACCTCTTCCCTGCTGGCACAGCCAATAGGTTGGCGTTTTGGTTTTTACTCATTTTGTGTGGGCTCTGCTGAAACAGCCCTTGCTTTAGGATCTAGTTATTCAATGTGAATAAACCTGTTCTTGTGATTAACTGTTATATGTAAGGAGATGAGCTGCTCGGCACAATTGCACCAGCGTCAAATTAAGTTATTGTTGGCCACTTTTTAGTAAATGTCTGATAACTGGAAGAAATGAAACAGCAGTAAACCATTCTAACTTTAAAAACACAAAGTTTTCTAGCGATTCCCTGATCACATTGTCTGGCCCAGCTATTTGAGTCAAGGGAGAATATGTCTCTAGGTGACCTTGCATTCGTTGACATTTCTCTGAATATTTGGAAGTCATTTTAGAAGACGTCATGAACCCAGACTTCCAAATATGTTGACACACTAATTATTAAAGTACAGTGAAACTGAAGCTGAAACATTTGTCAGTGGTGGTCCAACTGGGTCAGTTGTATGATTTTGCTCCAATTCGATATGCCCGCGCCTTGCTGCACACATTCAAATTCAGCAGGCACTTACTGCGCCCAAGTTCATAAGTCCACCCTTTTACACGACATCGGCCCATTTATGGCTCAAAACTGTTCTTCGTTGCAACAAACACAGTCTTTCCATAATGCTGCCTATGTCCTCGCTCCATTCTAGCAATCTGCTTTTCATTATTACATTCAGCCTAATCAAAATCACTGTTGAAAGTTTAGCCTGCCATTTTGTTATTTGTTTGGGCTTGCGATAACATGTATAAAAGTCATCTTTTTCTTCCGAGAGTCACTTCGCACACCGTTATGTGGTGATGTGGCCAAGCAACAACAGTTATCAGCACTGCGTGCTTTAAATGACATCATCACGCAAACAAAGATGGGCCAGTGCAAAAGATTGGTATCTGGCAAAGAAAGTTCGCGTCATTTTATCCCACTATGCAATGTTCTTCGGTATGCACATTCTAGATCTACTTAAGCCTAAATGCCCACATTGTGGGGCAACGGCTACTTGTGCATGTCGTTGTGCATCTTCATTGCGAAACTGGTGTAATACTGAGGCAAGCGAGTGCTTGTAGAAATTGAGCTGCACAGCCACCCACGAATAAAGAACAAGTGCTCCACACTGTTAGAACGATGAGCTGGTGTTAAAAAAATGTCAAAGCCCTCCCAACTTGCAAATCTTCCAAAGTTATTTGCTCCCGCGCTTGTCGAAAACTACGTTTGCGAGCCTGCTTAGCATGGCCACTGTTTGCAATTGCCAATTGATGAGGATTGAACGACGCTGATGCTAGAATTTCTTGCTTCCAACTGCACTGTGTCGTGCCGTACCTTCGTTAAGCTCAAACTGGATTGCAAAACTGCAAATTGAGGAAACAGGCTAGATGTTGTGAGACTTGTCGACAGCACTTGCTGAACCCTAAACTGTCTTTCCTGGACTGAGTTTTAGGACCCACGTCAACCGCAGATACGAGGGGCGGGGATTGTGGAGAGGAAGTTAGACTCCCTCTGAACCGATCTGTTCTCCTCCGTCATCTAGCTTGTGTGCTGGATGCCACACTTATTCCCCAACCGAGAAAATAGCGCAGGAACTCATACCTACCAATCGTATGTTCATAGCATATTGTCATGCGACAGGAGTCCACCGAAGCAAAGAAGAGGAAGAATCGCACACGAGCAGCAAGCCATTGTGGGGCTGACGTTTCTGTCCCTTGCGCTGCGCTATTTATTTCTGACTTTCCACCTTGTAAATAAATGCATCTCATCATTACGATATATTAAGGTAAAACATTTGTGAACACGGGGTGTCGTTAATGCTAGTATTTCGACAAGTGGAATGGTCCTTAAAGCTATCTTGAAGAAAAGCCGTCCCCTCTCGCCCTCTCCTTTATTCTTAGTTTGGTCACTCACACTGCCTCCTTTGTACCAAATGAATATGAAAAAATATGTACCAGATGATATTCTGAAAAGTATGCGTCGAGGAATTCAGATGCACCAGGTAGCTGTGCACATGCCAACCATACAGCAGCAAAGGCCCATCGGCACGAAAAGCAGCTTTCTTGACAGCGGTGGCATGAGTGGTGTGAAAAACTTGGATCTGACATGGGAAACAGAGCCCTTTGGAGTACGTTCAGTTCGATGGAACACAGTTACAAGCAACCTGACACTGCAGCGAGTGTTAGGTCATCGATGCAAAGTACGCCACAAGAATTTGCAGAGCAGGCTGCAAGAGAATTTTTCCCGAAGTATGATAACGCATCTTCTGTAACCTGCCCCGAAATCGATGAGCTTGAACCAAGCGCCAAATCTGATATATCCAGTCCTTTTGGCATGGCTGAACTAATAGCGGCAATTAAAACTTCTCACCAAGGTGTTGAACAACACCTGGTCCAGACAATATTGTTACGGATAAATATAGCACCTGGTACTCTATAAACTCTTTATTTATGGTGAACTTGTGCCCGTAAACTCAAAGCAAGAAATGGTCAGCCAAAAATGTTTCTTGCTCGCTGACTCCAACTTCGTCGGTCTCTTCCTCTGCCCCTCGAGTCTCGTGCCGGTCCCGTGGCGTAGCATCGTGGCACGTGCAGGGCGGCGTTCCATGGCGCGGCTCTCTTGCTACTTGCTTGGCGGCTTTTACGAACGCGAATTGTGGCACGCGTCTTCATCGATGGTCGAGCTGTGGCATTAGTCCCCCTCCTAGCACGCATCGCCCCGATGCGTAGAGCCGGCTGACAGTTTCTAATTAATAGGACTTGTCCTTGTGTTAGACGACGTGAGTCAGTTCACTTGTTCAGTTCCTGGCGTAGTACGGTTTCATACGTACTACATGTACAACTTCCGGGAAATTCCTGCGTCGTGTTGTGCATACTTGACCTTCAGCGATCACTTCGTAGTTTCATGGGCCTATTGTATTTACTCGATTCTACCGCGCCCTCGATTGTAACGCGCACCCGATTTCCACCGCGAAAAAAAAAAAAACGTAAGACATCGATTGCAACACGCACCCATTTTTTTCTCGCTGGCCCGCATGATCACACCACTCGAAAAAACGACTCCTTTCGGGAGCGTCTTCCATTTAAATATGAGGTACGGGCGAAGCTTGTGCCCATCTGACGTGTAACAGAGCATTGCCGTCACTGTAGTTTTACCGTGGACCGATGTCAGCACGCGAACTTGCTTCGCCCCCTTCTTCTCGACGGTTGTGGTGCCAGGCATGTCGAAGTAAAGAGGCGTCTGATCGGCATTCCCAATTTGCCCAAGCAGGTAGTCGTTGTTGCGCCGCAAGTTTAGGACGAACCTCTGAAAACTGTGAAGCTTTTCATCGTACACCTCCGCAAAACTTTTCGCATATGCATGTTCCCCTTCGGAGGGAAAAGCCTTTCCTCTTCATAAAGTTAGTTAGCCAGCACCTGCTCGCTTTAAACTGGCTCCGCATTAGACCTTTTTCTAAGACTACCTACTTGCATAGCTCGCACTTGGAGCAGTTCTGCCGTCACGGGCCGCTGTGCTGCTCGCTGCTAAAGCACATACTCGCCGAGCAGCTCTTTAATTTGCGGAAACCGACCCTGCTGTGGTCCACTGAAGCCTTTGCGTAAAGCTTTGCTGTCGAAAATCTTCTGCTTTTGTTTCCGCCGGTCCCGCACGCACGTTTCGGGAACTCCGAACGACCGCGATGCGGCCCGATTTCCGTCCGTTTCTGCACACGCGATGACTTTTCTTTTAAAAGCGGCATCGTGGTGCACTCGAGTTTTTGGAGTCGGCCATTCCACGCTGTCGATGCTAATGCACTACTAGATGACGAACTCCTCAGCACACGTACAAAGTGCCGCACATGAGAAACACATAGGCAGAAATGGACGACGCGCCATGCCGACGCACGTAGGGGGCGGCCATTTTAGATTTGCCGATGGCAATAGATTGGCCGTAATTTTTTTGTTCGTACTCGATTCTAACGCGCATGCGATTTATGAACTCGCTTAACCGGAAAAAAGGTGCGTGTTAGATTCGAGTAATTACGGTAGGTGACGAAGAACCCTGTAAGGGCCAAAATAGCGCCGCATAAGCTTTTCTGATAGGCCACGTGCACGTACAGGCGTCCAGACCCACACTTGGTCTCCAAGGGAGTACTGAACGTCCCTTCGTCTTAGATTGTAACGGTGCGCGTCGACGTCCTGCTGTTGAATGATGCGGTTCCGTGCTAGTTGTCGCGCCTCTTCTGCCCTTTCTACATATTCCCTTATGTCAGGGTCCTCTTCATTCGTGCTGTGGACAGGCAGCATTGCGTCTAATGTCGTTATTACTGTCCGACCATAAACAAGTTGAAATGGCGTGAAGTGGGTTGTCTTTTGTACTGCGGTATTGTATGCAAATGTAGCATACGGTAATATGGTGTCCCAAGTCCGATGCTCGACGTCCACATACATCGCGATCATGTCAGCAAGCGTCCTATTCAGCCTTTCAGTTAACCCGTTAGTTTGCGGATGGTATGCGGTAGTTCTACTGTGGTCGGTGTGCATTAGTTTCATGACAGACTGTACTAGCCTGGCAGTGAACGCAGTTCCTTTGTCAGTTATAAGGACTTTAGGTGCGCCATGTCGCAGCACTATCTGGGCCACAAAAAACTGAGCCACTTCATTTGCCGTTCCTTTTGTGAGAGATGACGTCTCAGCATACCGGGTCATGTAGTCGGTTGCTACAACTATCCAGCGCTTCCCAAACGATGACATAGGAAATGGACCTAGCAAATCCATTCCGACCTGCTCAAACGGGACTTTCGGTGGCTCTATCGGTTTCAAAAAACCTGCTAGTTTTAGGGGTGGTACTTTGCATCTTTGGCATTCTCGACATGATCTTACGTAATGCTGTACTGAATCCATCATTTTTGGTCAGTAATATCTCCGGCGAATTCTCGCCAAAGTCCTACTGATGCCCAAGTGACCTGCCGATGGGTCATCATGACACGCTTCTAAAATTTTCGCTTGCAGTGATGATGGTATCGGCAGTAG